AGCCAACCCTAAAAGCTTAGCTGCAGATGACCTTAAAACCTGATGCAGATATTTTTTTCCAAGTAACTTGGAGTTAAGCTCTTGAGAGGTTCACAAACTGAGTGTTGTTTCTATTGAACTAGAGAGCAGAGACTGGTAAGCAGGGTTCTCCCAAGGCTATACAAAAAGGCCAGATGCTTAAATGACTTGAACACTTTTCCTGTGTGCCCAGCTAGCAGGAGTGCCAAGGGAAACAGGAGAGATTAAAACTTTATCTCACACAAGAGACTGCAGCACTGCCTCCCCACTGTTTCTGCTGCAGATTTGGGATTTAAGTTACATTTGGGAGGGGTCTGGCTGGTAAACCAGCATACCCCAAACACATCTGGGCCTGCCCCTAAATCAGCTCTACCAAAATGTGCAGGGAGCATTACTGGTACCCTGGCAGAGCAGCAATCTCTGTAGAAGAGCAGTGAACCAGAAAATAAGAGACAATATTTGTGTCAGGGCTCCTCTCTCAGCTCGAAGATCACTGCATTGGCCATATTCACCATTTAAACTAATCCCTGCTTCATTGTGCAGATGCAGATCTTCAAGGGGATCTTCTCCAAAACTCTCCCCAAGAATTTTAAAGCAATTAAATTGCACAGGATCTTTTTGAGGAAAGTACTGCTGAGTGCGGATTTTTGGCATTTTTTAAGTAAAAGACACTGGGGCATGATGAAATTAGGAGTCTCAGAAAGCCAGAGTGGAATCAGAAACAGACCAATCCCAAACTTCCAGTGTGTGCCATCACAGACTCATTTCTTCGTGATGCGACACAGGAGATCCAACAGGCAAACCTTGGATGCTATTCTAAATTGCTGAATGTAGATGAAGTTTGTTACCCTAGTTATCTAGTCCTATTTCTGATTATCTGAACTCTTAATCTGAGTCAACTGGTATCCAGTTCAATGGTATCTGTATAGGTCCACAAGGCTGGCAAAAATTTACAACTGTAGGATATTCTTATTTTTTAAAAAAAAGGGAAAAGGGATACATGTGATAAATTCAAAGATCAGCAAAACTCCTCGGATATTTCTCTTCCTCTACAGAATTGATACAGTACATTCTAATGCAGTTTTGAAATAAGATTTAGCGCTTTGTTTATGCCATGTTTAAGAATTCATATGTATTTTGTATAGATAACTGCAAATCAGTGAATTCTATTCAAAATTAACTTCCACTATTGCTTGTTTAGTTGAGAAACATTTTGCTGAAAAGCCACAATAATAAGAGTGACAGTCTGCTCAACAATCTCTTTTATCTCTTGCTTTGCAGAGGAAAAACACTTGGACACTGCTGTCCCTTTCCTCTTTTTGATCCTGCTTCAGCCAGGGATATCAAAAGATGCAGGTGACAAACTGGATGCATACACTTGGGACAGTAACATATGTTCAGCAGTACCAATGAGAACAGTGCAATTAAAAGGTGGTTTGACTTATAGAAAGGAGGCTGATTAAATCCAAAATATGCAGACATACAAGCAGGTATTTAGTTACTACCATTATTCCATGTCAAGATGGGGTAATGGCTTTTTTTTTTTAATTTCTTTCAAAGAGGCAAATACATAGAACTCAAAGCCACATTCTCCTTCATGGTGCACTTGTTACTACAAACAATACTTGTAAAGGGGTCTCTGTTGACAATGACAGGCCTGAGTAAACACTCAGCTGGCACACAGGTTTCCATTAGCACAAGTTTACATGCCTTGTCATGCTTCCCCAGCCATCATTTGTCACCATGCTTTGCACAAGATCAGCAAACACTATCCTCTCACAAACTTTCCCCCATTACTTTCTTAAGAAGAGAGGAAGAAAAAATAGAAAAAGGGTGAGGGGTTAGAAGGGCAGCATAATCACTTCTTCAGCAGAGCACACCAGCTTTGCATTGAAGGGCAGCTTCAAGCCTTCCCTCCACAGACCAAGAGCAGTGCCCTGCTGCTCAGCAGTGTCTGAGGCAGCTCTCCTGGCATAAAGCTCTGCTCCTTGACAGCACAACAGTGCCAGAGCCACAGAGTGAAGCACAGCCAGGCTCGGGGCTTGTTTCAGTAGTACTTAACTGGCCACAGCTTCTTGGTGCTACCAGCAGATCTGGAAGCCAAGCAATTGTCAGAAATAATCTGTTTTTAGCTTTCACTGACCATAAAGACATAGAGAAGTTTCTTTGCTCATGCTGGGCTACTGATTGCTCAGATATATTCCTCACAGAGAGAGGGTGATTCAGAGGCTGGGCACATCAGGCAACTTCAAGTACACACAAACAACGAGTCCACACAAACACAAAAAACCCGACAAAATATATAAGGACTTTGACATAAAAACCACATCTAAATAAAAGCAGTCCATTCAGGGGCATGTTTATAAATGTACTGCAGAGACTGACCCTCACACAAAGTAAACCTGGAGCTGCTCAGGCTGTGGGCTGGTGATCAACATCTGGTGAAGAGTCAAGAGGACACTTTGTCATTGCTCCCCCCAGCAGAAACACAACCCTCCACTCAGTCTGGTTCCAGTTTAGAAGCAGTGACATTTAGTGAGTCAAAGTGACCTCAGCTTCATTGAAACTCCCTGACTGCTATTAAACAGCCAGCAGGGATTTAAGGAATACCAGGAACCAGATGGAAAAGCACCAGGTCTGGGGACAGTGAAGCTACAGACCCAAAGGTCATTAGTGCTCCATGGGGACTGCTTGAGCCACATGCGTGCTAGTGCAGCCCTCCGAATAATAGTGGCTGCAGAGCTTGGCCTGGGGAGAAAACCCCCTTCCCTTTCCTTCCCTTCCCATCCTGCCATAGTCCCCAGCCCTCCCCTGGCTGCATCTGCTGCCATGGGCGTTTAAGCAGGAAAAGCACCTGGAAGTCAGGCTGCGCACGTTTGTTTTTATGAGGCAGGGCAAGGGGTCAGGCAGCAAAACAGAGACAAAAAAGCAGACGACAAGCTGGTTTTGTGCCTCCCTGGCAGTGAGAGCTGCCACCTCCCTGCAAAGCCCAGGCAGCTGCACAACTCCAGGTCCCACCCTCTCTGAGCTACCTAGAGGGTATCCATCAGGGGCAGGGAGAGGGCAGAGCAGCAGTGGTTCCCCCCAAGAGTATGGCTTTTTAGAAAGGACAGGAAAATGAGACAGTTTAGTTTCTTTTGTTGCTTTCTTCACAGTTAGGAGAGTAGGGCAGATTCAGACATGCTCCAGATGAACACCATTCAAGTGAGCCACACGTGCTCCCCCTGCTAAACTTCTGTTAAACAGGTACGGCTGAATGCCAGACACTGGAGGGATGGGTTTCACACTCAGCTGCCCCAAGCACTGGGGGAACAAGCCCAAGGCCTCCCAATGCCTGCTGTCACCCTGCCACTACATGCCACTGCCAGCTCCCAGCATCCACAGGGGTACTACAGCTGGATTTGTCCATACAAACAGTCTACACTCTTTCCCCATGATGTCACCTGACTACACGAGCGGCTGTTCAAACAGCATCAAAACTCCCACACTTCAGGGACAGGTACTTCCCTGCTGCCTTTTCTCCTCTACCACTAATAATCCTCTCTGCCAAAGCATACATTCAAATGTGTGGAAATGAAGCAGCTGGGGCACTGCAAAGAGCTAGAGCTAGGCAGCCTAGCCCTCAAGGGCAAACTGACCCTGGCAAGGGGGTGCTAGGAAATCCCAAGATAAATCTGTGAAAGTACCCTTCAAGCAGGACTTGGTGCCCAGCCTGTTCATCCTTAGATGTTACTGCCCCTTTGAGCAGGATGAGTATCAACACAGGGGGTGGGGGACCTTTGTCATGCAGCAGGAATGTTAACATCCTCCAGACTTAAACGGCGCCATCTGAAGAGCAGCTAATATTCTGAACTTAATTTTTCATGTGTACATCATGAGGTCCTAATAAAAATGTTGAAAACTGTCTTTGTTGTCCTCCAGTCCCTACAGGACTCACTCCTCCTTTGGCATTTCTCATTGTTGTCATCTGTAGACAACAAGATTGTTGTTAAAGTTATGGTACCAGCTTTACAAAATGAAAAGGATTTTTTTTTTAAAGAGAGCGGAAAAAAAAGGAGATGAAACAAAACAAAACTAGAAAGAAGATGGGGAGGGGGAAGTGGAGGAAGAGAAATGTGCCAGGAAGCAATATAAAAAAAGCAGGGACTTTTGATGTTTTCTTTTCCCGCCTCCTTCATTTTTGGCTGAATTATAGGGCGTAGCATAGTATTTTCAGCGCATCTTTTACAAACTTTATTTAGTTCAGTGATTCACATTTCCCGAGCAAGGTTAACCAAAGGGAGGGATGTTTCTCCCTTTGCCCCTAACTGCTCCCCAAATTTCAAATGAATTGTATCACATTGTTAAAAAGAATTGTCAGAAAAGAACTTTTCCTGATCTCCTCCAATGGTTTTCCCAACAATGTGCAGGATGGTTCATTACTTATTCACTTTAGAGAGTAATTTAAAAATACTCTACACAACCTTGAGCCTCAGACTTTGATAAGACATAGACAGGCACATGGTTAAGATTGAGAACTTCATGGTCACTGCTCTCCTAAGCCTGCCATTTTTTTCCAAACACACATGCATAGTCTGAAAAAGCAAAAGGTTACATATGTAAGTCAGCTGACTTTCTTCCCTGAACAGAGCTGAGCACTCTCTGGGAAAAGCTGGAGCTGAAATCAGACGCCCAGAGAAGACATCAGAGTTTATCTGGGACTTCTAGGCCTACACTGACAGCACCTGAACCTCCAGGCTCCAGGAATTCCCCTGAGCAGCACAGGCTGCAAGCTGATGCCGTGCTTGCCTCTCTGTGGTCACAGAGACCATAAAAGTGCCAGAGTGATGACCCCTCATCAGCCGGCAGAATTTATTTCCTCTGTTTCCTATGCAATACCTGTACAGCACTTGAAGCTTGACTCCCAGCCCATGACCCCAGCAACTGGGAGAATATCTCCAAAAATTCATGCAAGGCTGTGTGAGGGGCTTGCAGACACTTACTTCATTAGCTCTGTGCAATCTGTGCACGGCTTCTCATCCTTTCTGGCTATGCATTAGAGGGAACAGCAGCAGCCACATCAGGGCTCCAGGAGAGGGAACACATGTACAGTGCCTGGGGGGTGCCAGATACTCAGTTAAAGCAACAAGGAGTTAAGTGGATAAAGCATGACAGGCAAAGCAGCCCTGTCAATAAGAGAAGAGATTTGAAAAACCCTGTGTCCGTCAAGGAGCATCTGAATTATATTTAAAAAAAAAAAACAGCATAGGAAAATTTTACCCTTTCCTGCTTCCTTTTTTCTGGCTCAAAGAAGCTTCTACTGTCCCCACAAGAAACAACTGTAAGGTCAGATTTCTTTGAAAGGAACAGAGAGGAGAGCCTCTGGTTTCTTTCCAAAAAGCAATTTATTTTAGCTTCAGCAAAGGTCAGGAAGCATAAATTGCAATGGATACTCTTCCCGTGTAGCCAAACATATTTCCAAGCAGAACCATGACGTTATAAGGAAACAAATGAGTAAATATAAGGAGACCAAAGAAAAACCGAATCTGAAAACATTTCTGATTGTAGAATGATATCACTCTCACATGTAAATGTGTGGGCTGAAGTGGAGGTCAGAAGTGGTAGAAGTGACTTAGATAAGCATAGAGGATCAATTTTGGAGGATAGTTACACATCAGAAGAAACATCTCAGCAGTGAATGACACTCCACCAGCTTGACTTCGTCTTGATTTTATATTGCAATCCTTTATGCAACAACAGAAAATGTGCATCAGCCAGAAAACTCATAACTCTGCTGGAAAATGTTGAATGCACACAGCAACATAAGCAGTCTGTTATCTACAGTAAAGGAGGTTTGTTTAGGTCCTCCAGCGCAACCTCCATGCTCCTAAGAGCACCATATTTCACTCTTTGGATGCTTTTATTCCCACATGGCTCCCTTCTAGTTACATGTAGCTCCATTTCAGCCAGTGATGGAGAAAAAAGCAAAAGGATTACCTGGGGAACTGCTTAGCTTGTAAACCAAGACTATCATACTTACTTTTGTGGGCTTAATCCACGAGGTATTTAGTGGATATATTCTTCAACCCACAAAAATTAATGAGATACAGATCCTACAAGGGGAAAAACTACTGGATAGGTTTCTATTATTGCATATTGATATCCCTAGTGCTAAGGAAGCCTAAGAAGAAGTGGAAACAATATGGCTGTGTCTCCAGAGGGCCCTGTCTATTTACTTTTGCTTAACACTGAGCTGGATTTTCACTTGAGTCAGCACAGACTCTTAGGAGCCTTGCCTGAACATTTGTGGAGGATGTCTACTGCCTGCCTGCAAATGGTCTGTGGCCAAGGAGGCCAGAACCCTCTGCTCCAAGCACCAGGAAATGGAAACAGACCTTCTGGTTTGTGCTCACATGGCACCCAGCATGGGGCATCACAGACTATCCGTTTTCCATCCTACTGCCGTACCAAAGCAATAACAACTGTCTTGCTGAGTTTCCAGGTAATAAAGACAAACTTTTCTCTAGCTGCCATGGCCACTGACAGTTTATGTTAATCAAAGTGACACCAGCATAAAGTGCTGGGCTGGCAGACTAGAAAGCATTTTACCTTCAGCTGTTTCTGATATGTTTGTGTGCACAGTTCAGTTTACCATTAGGAAGGGCAAATAATGACCCATCACTAATTTAAGGCTGGATCCCTTAAGTAATAAATTGAAAGTCAATGTTTAAACAAAGAGACACAATTACAAATTCAGCATGACACTCTCCAGAAAAAGGGTCATTAGGCAGCAGAGGCCAGACAAACTTCATCTGCCCCCTAGGAATTTTCTGCTGTACTTGAATGACTACCAAAGAGACCATTCATCTTTACTGATCCCTGTTCCTAACCATACAAGGCTCTCAAGAAGTCAAGCCAGTGACTGGATGTAGGTGTGTGATGGGTTCTACATGCCATTTTTGCAAACCATCACACAGACATGGGACTGGTACTGAGCAGCCCACCAAGCAACCTGCTATGCAACAAAGGATGCGTTTTGTGCAGCAAGGCCCAGTGAAGGGAAAATACTGTGGCTCTGTGACCATCTGAGGGATGGGAAGAGACCTAAATACACCAGTGGAGCCCTTCCAGTGCTGATTCACAGAAAAGAGCATGGCCTGTGGCATCACAGACCATCACCAGTTCATCCACCATCATTTGGGAATGAGAGATGTGTGAAATATTGCTGAAGGACTCATAAAACCTTCTCCCTACCTCTCCCCTCCATAATCTTGGGGCAGAATGGCAAAAAATTGAATAGGATTTTCATCAGGTTAGATGATGCAGCCATGTGGCTGTTCCTACTGATTTGAAGATAAAATATACATATCAGAGCTGTTAGGTGCTTGGATACACACATAACCTTCCAGTTTAAAAGACTATTTACTATTTTCTCTACCCCTTTAAGGTATCTGTCAACACTGATAACTCCCATCTAGGACATGAAAACATTTAAAGTGGTTCCACTTGACAGTAATAAAATTATTTTTTAAGAACTTGTAAAACCTAAACAGCTCTTTTATTACACTCTTCCAGCAAAAGCCAGTAATGTTTCCTGATAGACAAGAAAGAACAATTGTACCCTATGGAAAAAGGCATTTGAAAGATAGACTTATGTCCCCTAAAGAGCATTCAAAGCAGACAATGGTCATATTAAAAAAAAAAAAAAAAACAGGGGGAAAAAAACTTAATATATATTCTCCTAGGGTATGGTTCTGCTTCAAAAATGCAGAAGAGGATGGGAATTCACTGAGTGTCAGCATAATACAGTCAAAGTGATGGAATAAGTGCCTGGTACATAACCAAAATTTTTATTTTAGTATATGTCCAGATGGTTCTTGCTGTCCTGATGTATAGTTCTTAAAGCTTTCCTTTTCTTCTCTCTACTTAGAGTAGGAACCTACATAGTCAGTTGTCTGGGTGAATGAAAAATAAGTCTTCATTCCTGAGCACACAGTTGTATGCAAATATTCCTATTAAAATCCCTGTCTCAAATTTAACCTCTCAGCAGTCCTGTGGACCAATATGTTCAGTCTCCTCTAAACTGTAAAAGCTAATGAGAAAATGCTCCCACAAGCTGAGTCTGACCCTGAAGCTGAAGAGCTCGGTTAACCGCACGAACCTTGAATGTGCAAATGAAGAATCCTCCCTGCCAGATGCTGCTGCTTCTGACAAACCTCATCCTCAAACAGTGTCAAGCATATGCAGCCCAGTGGGTGAGTGCTGCAGGGACAGGTGGCTTGGTTGGTATTTCACTTGGTTTTTTTCTTTAATTTCTATAAGTTTGGCTTTTTAACTCCTTAGGCACTTTCAGAGCAATAGATGTAGAGACTGAGTGATTTTACGGGTTGAATGATAGGACGATTGCTCCTACAGCTGTTTGTTGTTTCTTTTTTTCCCAACCTGCCTCACTTCAGTGCAATGACAAAGATGTTCATGCTCAGGAACAGGTCAGCAAGAGACAAACCTTGTCTCTTGACGCCTGATGCAGTGAGGAATTGTAGGGCATATTTAGTTGCCAGCTTGTTTTGGCTATACACCTGCAGAAAAAAGGTACAAGCTGAAGTGTCCTCCATAACTTGGTTACACAGCAGTGTAAAAATCATTATGGGAACTCCAATTCAAAAGTAAAAATTAAGGTTTTGATTTTAAAAGCCTAACCAGTGATGTGTTTGATGAGAAAATGAGAGCTGCCATGCCTAAATGAGCACATCTGGTCAACTTTATTTTTAACAGGACAAAGACTCTTTTCTCTGAGGCCAAGATACTAGGTCTTTAATCTTTTTCCATATTTCTCATGCTTATCACATACAAGCTTATCGTAAAGATGTCTTTATCACTTCTTCCTTTTGATTAAAGGCTATGAGTAATGCTAGCCAATATCAATAACAATGCCCTAAAAATAAAATTATCATCAAACCAGAACCTTGCAGGGAACAGTGTTAGTCTCACTAGTCCCTCGTGTATAGATCAGACAGTGCACTCAGAAGAAAAAAAAACCCACCACATGTGAAGAGCAAGTCTCCAAATACATTATGTTTGGAGAGTATAATTCATCTTACAGACAGTGAAATCCTGGGTGATCTTTATTTTACATTAATCATACGGTTAAATGGCTCAGGTATTAGGCAGGCAGGCTGGGGAGGAGAGAGGGGGAAGAGAGAGAAGGGAGAAAAAGAAAAAGTTGGCTCAAAACTTCATTCTAAACAGAAACCAAATGTTAGTCACTTTGAAGTACAATAATTTTTTTTTAAGATTTAAGTCAAAAGAAACAGTTAAAATAATTAGTCTTACCACACATTCAGCGATCCTCAAACTAAAAATCAGTGCCACACATAGGCATATAAACATATAAACAGAAATACACATTGGTCAAAAATATAGGCAAGATGTATCATCCATGTGAAAGGTGAGACTACAACTAAACAAAAAAAAAATCCATAAAAGGCAGTGATTGCCAACCAAGTTTTTACAGACAATTGGTATGCATATGTAGTGTGGTAATGATAAGGACATTTAATCATCCTAAAGGAAACAACAATTGTGGGAAATCATTTGAATAGTACTTAGAAAGATTATAAAATCCCAGTTCCATGTCATTCTAAGAAAGACCAGTGTTTTCCCATAAATTATAGCAGATTTCAAGGAAAAACAGGTAATGGTAAAAGAATCAAAGACATATGAAAGTTTTCCGATTTAGAATGACATTGCTCATTATGAAGTATGTGGTTCTAATTACCTTCTTTCTAAGACCATTAGACATACATGTTGAAGGTACTTTTCCACATATACTGAAAAATCTTGTAAAATTTTCACCAACAGCAGCAATATTATTAGCAAATTGACTGAATTTTCATTAAGAGAATGAAATTAGGAAACAGTCCAAAGATGACATTTCTGTCTTTCCCTGCCACAATCTACTGCTGGAGAAAAGCCAGACTATAACAATACTTTTAATATAAACACCCCCAGTTCATGTGGATCTTCACACCAAAACCCTGTCTCACCTACCAAGGTAAGACTCTGTATTATTCATTTTGGGTGAGAATTTTCCTTCTAACTTCACCTAACATGTCAGTTTCATACCTTAATAATGCTCTTCAAGCAAGTAACAACCCATAAAATGACTTTTTTCAATATACTGGTTTGTCAGGTTTTTTATGCACATCATAATTAGCAGTTAATTTGTGTATGTACATATTTATGTCCTGGAATTCACAGACTGTGATGTTCTTTTACAGAGATTTTAGGGGAAAAAAAAGACAAAAAGCATTAATAAAGTTAACTGAATACTATGAATTATTCTGGTTTTGAACAT